ACTCAGGTGATCTGCCTGCCTCAGCCTCCCAAAGTGGTGGGATTACAGGCGTGAGCCACCACGCCCGGCCTCCAGGCTCCTGAATCTTTGTTTTCCTGTTTCGATTTTTCTGGGTTAATTTATAACACACTCTTGTCCCAGCTTTTCCACAGAGCCCTCCCCTTCACCCTCCCCTCATTGTTCAGGAAAGTTTAGGCCACGTGACAGTGAGGGGCGTGCCCCCACAATGATTATGTCAGCAGCTGCTTGGAGGCCTGTTCATCTACTACCCACGTTTCCAGGGAGCCCTGCGAGGAACTACTCATCACAGTCCTGGATCGAGGGGGCTGTGTAATTGCAGTTCTCCTGGGACCAGACTAACATTTTATTGCTTGCAAATCGTTCCCCTGTTTTCTTTCTAGGACTACTCCCCTCTTTAAAAGAATTAGAATTCCCAGCCCCCTTTCTCCTGTTTACACTCTTTCTCCACCTCCCCAACCTATCCTTGTTTAAAAAAAAAAAAAAAAAAAAATCATGTTACCGTATTTATCGATCACTTGCCATGTGTCAGGTCCTGGCCTGGGCTCTGGAGAGTACAGTGAATGAGACAGATGACGTTCCCGCTGGGCCCCTGGAGTTTGGCTTTCTCTTTTCCAAGCAGTGGAAATATGAAGCCCTTGCCACCCCACCTTTCTCTGTCTAGGGCCCCAGCTAGCCTCTTCTCTCTGCCATCCCCTTGGTCCCTCTGTAGTCCTGGCTTCCTAGCCCCCACTTTTGGGGCAGCCCTAATTGTGGGTGACTGTGTTCTCTGGAGGGAAGTACTAGACACCATGTAGGCTGCCCAGAGACCTTTTCTCTGAGTGGCCATAGAAGCACCTGCCATTGTTTCTCTTCACAGCCACTCTGGTCGCTCCTTCCATTGTCCGCATCTTTCCTCCACCCACTCACTCACCAATCACACGTGGGCCCTTAACTGTCCTCTCCCAGGATTTGAAGTGTCAGAGGAAGTGCTTCGGTTAAAGGGCTTCATTATGTAGAACGAAGGTTGGGAAGGAACGAGGTTGGGACAGGAACCCAGGAGAGGCCCAGCCAGGTTTCTGTCTGTCCCCTCCTCTCAAGGACAACCCATCTCATCCAGCGTGGCCTAACTCCCAGCGCCATTCCTTTTCCCCACCACTGGAAGGGCGAAGATGCCAAGATGTTGTGTTCTGCAAGGCTAGTGCGTTCAGGAAGTAGGCAAGTCTTGAGCACCTACTCTGGCCCGGGTTTTTTCCCTAAAGAGGCGCAGCGTACCTCCCTCTCTCCTCCCTTCCATTATTCACTGTGCAAGCGTCCTGCGCCCATTGGCTGGGCGGTGTCTGAGGCTCTTCAGCCCAGCACCAGCACCCAGGTCCACGTGCGCCCGTGTGTGTGACACAGCCCTGACCTTAGTGGAGGCCACTAGCCAATCAGGCGCCGGGAAGAGATCCCCAGCCAATCGGGGGCGGGGCCTGCGGCTCCGTCGGCAAGAGGCCAATGAGGGGGCAGTGCCCGGCATTATGCAACCCGCCTCCCCGCCCGGTGGAGCTTCCACTCGGCTGCGGGCTGGAGCAGCGGCGGGCAGGCGGGCCGAGGACACTCCCGCGACCAGGTAGGCATCTCTGCGGCCATCCTGGGGTCGATCTGCGTCCCTGAGCCGGACCGCTGCCACTTCCAATCTCATGGGCTACTTTTGGCCCAGCCAGTCAGAGGGCACACTGTCGTCCTTACCGCTACCCACCCTCTCCCCGCCCCCGGGGACCGAAGTGCTCCTCGAAATCTTGCACCGGGAGTCTGCACTCCTGACCCACTCACCTTACCTCCAGCTTGTCCCCACCTCCCCGTCCCATCTTGCCCGGCCCCACAGCCGACTCGGCGGGCATGCCCCGGTCTTCTTGCTCGTTACTCGAGGGGCCCCAGGTTTGCCCCGGTACCAGGACCCCATTAGGCTTTCGGCGCTCCCCGTGTCTCTGCTCTCCAGTCCCTGGCCCTGCGCCGCCTGTGATGTCAGCCCACTTCGGACTGGAACATCCCGTTCCCAGCGCTAGTTCCTGCTGTTGGCCACAACCTTCCCTTTTCGCCTGGCGCTGAGAAAATGCTCAGTAGTGGGGGTGTGGTTAGACGGGGAGTAGGGGAAGAACGATCTGTTGGTGTTGTGCCTCTTCTGCCCAAGACTTGGGGTGGGGGTCTGGCCAGAAAAGTAGGGGACTCTTTTTTGAGAGGATCCTCGGGTCCTTGACGATGGCAGTTTGCCGGCTTCGGTCCTCGCGGTGGGGAAGCAGCGCAGGGGCTAAAGAAGGAAAGGCTGTGTTGTCTTGAGCAGAATGACTGGGATCCAGGCGAGAGTCAGGTTGAGGGGCTTTTGCGCGGAGGGCGGTGGCCGTCGTGTTTCGTCCTAGGGAAGCCAGGACAACCCTGGAATCCTAATAGGCCGTCCCACTTCGTGCGGCCACTGAGCCATCCTGGGACTGGGGATATGTGAAGGATGCGTGACCCCCGGCCGCACCCACCAGTGTGAGAGTGGGCCGTTCCCCCACTTCCGCCGGGAAATGGGGGAGGGGTCGCTCCTTCTGCCCTCCTGTGGTCCCTCCAGCAACCGCTGAGCTCAGCAGCTGACGTCGGTTTCCCTGGCGACCGTGGCGGCGGCGGAAGCGCGTGGTGGGGCCGCTCACGTCGGCGCGCATGTGCAGCGGGGGTGGCACCGCCCCCGGATAAAATTAGCCTGGAGGCCTAAATATAGGAGGCGACCAGCTCACCCCCTGCTCCGAGGCCTTGGAGGCCCAGGCAGAGTGGAGTCCTAATGGGAACTGGGGAATGGGAAGTGTCCAGGTTTTTGCCGACAGCCGTAGTTATCGACTGCTCAGGCCAGGGTGGCAGGGGATGTGAAGGAAGGCCCCGGAGAACTTTCTCCCACGTGCAGCGCCTCTAAGGGTACAGGAAACATCCTGACTCCCCATTGGAAGCCCCAGGCCTGGGTCCCCCTCCCATCAGTCCCGCATGAGGCCAGGCAGGGGAAAGTCTGAGTGAAGTCAGCAGGTGCTCTGGAGTTAACAAACCAGCTTTCTGCAAACTCTACTTCCTGGTTTCCCTCTCCAGGTACTGGCTGTGCTCGAACTTGTCAACCCTCAGAGACTTAAATCTTCCACCTCACTCCCTCAGCCAGGCCTCCAGGCCCCCCCGTGCATCCGTGGTGGCCTCTTCACCTTCTCTGTTCTGTTCTCCCCATGGCCCAGACATGAGTGGCCCCCTAGAAGGGGCTGACGGGGGAGGGGACCCCAGGCCTGGGGAATCATTTTGTCCTGGGGGGGTCCCATCCCCTGGGCCCCCACAGCACCGGCCTTGCCCAGGCCCCAGCCTGGCCGATGACACTGATGCCAACAGCAATGGTTCAAGTGGCAATGAGTCCAACGGGCATGAGTCCAGGGGCGCATCTCAGCGGAGCTCACACAGCTCCTCCTCAGGCAATGGCAAGGACTCAGCCCTGCTGGAGACCACTGAGAGCAGCAAGAGGTGCGTATGGATGTGTATGCTGGCTCTAGGAGTGGTCTTGTGAGCAGGCAGAGCTGGGTGACAGGCCTCACACTGCTGGCCCTACCTGTAACTGGGCCTGTTGCTGTCTCCTAGCACAAACTCTCAGAGCCCATCCCCACCTAGCAGTTCCATTGCCTACAGCCTCCTGAGTGCCAGCTCAGAGCAGGACAACCCGTCCACCAGTGGCTGCAGGTACGTCGAGTGAGGCTGGAGGAGAGGTCTGGGGGCCCAGGCCACACTCTGGGACTAATGTCTTTATCTCCTTCCCTGCGGGCCCCGCAGCAGTGAACAGTCAGCCCGGGCGAGGACCCAGAAGGAACTCATGACAGCACTTCGAGAGCTCAAGCTTCGACTGCCACCAGAGCGCCGGGGCAAGGGCCGCTCTGGGACCCTGGCCACGCTGCAGTACGCGCTGGCCTGTGTCAAGCAGGTGCAGGGTAAGTGGTATGTCCCAAGAGGGAATGGCCAGGACCTGGGCTCCTGTGTCGAGGCACCCTCCTTACTGAATGCCTCACTGCCTCCACCCTGCAGCCAACCAGGAGTACTACCAGCAGTGGAGCCTGGAGGAGGGCGAGCCTTGCTCCATGGACATGTCCACCTATACCCTGGAGGAGCTGGAGCACATCACGTCTGAGTACACGCTTCGTAACCAGGTCAGCGGCCGCCTGGCCTCTCCATCCCGATGCACCCCTACCCCTTCTCCCTCAGCTCTTCAATCTGCTCTTGCTCTCCCCTTCCTGCCAGGATACCTTCTCAGTGGCTGTCTCCTTCCTGACGGGCCGAATCGTCTACATTTCGGAGCAGGCAGCTGTCCTGCTGCGTTGCAAGCGGGACGTGTTCCGGGGTACCCGCTTCTCCGAGCTCCTGGCTCCCCAGGATGTGGGAGTCTTCTATGGTTCCACTGCTCCATCTCGCCTGCCCACCTGGGGCACAGGAGCCTCAGCAGGTAAGGTGCCCAAGCACTGTGAGGAGGCATGAGGCAGTCCCGGGAAGCTCCTGCTGTGAGGGGCCAGGGGACCCAGACTTTCCCTTAGTGGGTTCTTCGCAGCCTAGGGAAGGGGCGGGAGGCTGTGCTCACTCCTCTCCTGTCTGTCTCAGGTTCAGGCCTCAGGGACTTTACCCAGGAGAAGTCTGTCTTCTGCCGTATCAGGTAGGTGAGGGGAGGTGGGGAAGACCTCTGCCTCCTGTTTTTTTGTTTTTTGTTTTTTGTTTTTTGAAAGGGAGTCTCATTCTGTCGCCCAGGCTGGAGTGCAGTGGCATGATCTCAGCTCACTGCAACCTCTGCCTCCCAGGTTCAAGCGATTCTCCTGCATCAGCCTCCCAAGTAGCTAGGATTACAGGCGCCGCCACGCCCAGCTAATTTTTGTATTTTTAGTAGAGATGGGGTTTCACCATGTTGTCCAGGCTGGTCTTGAACTCCTGACCTCAGGTGATCCGCCTGCCTTGACCTCTCAAAGTGCTGGGATTAAAGGCGCGAGCCACCGTGCCCGGCCTACCTCTGCCTCTTTCTGCCCCCTCCTCAGGGTCTTTGCTGTTGTGTGCTGTGATCTTGTGGTTGGAAGAGTGGGTGGCTCTCTGTTGAAAGTCCCTAATGCTCTTCTCTGCTTTGCTAGAGGAGGTCCTGACCGGGATCCAGGGCCTCGGTACCAGCCATTCCGCCTAACCCCGTATGTGACCAAGATCCGGGTCTCAGATGGGGCCCCTGCGCAGCCGTGCTGCCTGCTGATTGCAGAGCGCATCCACTCGGGTTACGAAGGTGAGCAAGTCTGGGCCCTGGCCTGGTTGAGGCTGGGAGGAAGGACATTTCCTCATGGTCAGGCATGAATTTGGGAGGCTTAGCCAGACCCTTTGAATTTTGGAACAAGAAAAGCTTTTGTAAAGATGAGGATTTGAGCTCCTTTTAGAGGTAGAGTTGAATAAGATCACTGAGCTAGAAAAGAGCAGAGAAGAATGCCTTGCTTGCTCTCAGTTGTGGTACTGGTACAGGGCATAGGATTGGCCCAGACCATCTTTGGGCCCATAGTGCCCAGGGCACAGCTGTGTGGCAAATCGTCAGCCAGCCTGGGCCCAGGCAGAGTGGAGGGCTGAGGAGTTGGGCATTCTGGACGAAACCCAGTGACCACACTTTCTGTGCCTCAGCTCCCCGCATACCCCCTGACAAGAGGATTTTCACTACACGGCACACACCCAGCTGCCTCTTCCAGGATGTGGATGAAAGGTGAGGATAGGACCTAGAGGACAGGAGGGCAGCCAGGGCTGAGGCCACGGCCACTCTGATGCCTCCTTCCCATTCAGGGCTGCCCCCCTGCTGGGCTACCTGCCCCAGGACCTCCTGGGGGCCCCAGTGCTCCTGTTCCTGCACCCTGAGGACCGACCCCTCATGCTGGCTATCCACAAGAAGAGTGAGTTCCTCTTGCCCTGCTCACCCTTCCCACTGTCCCAAGCTTTTGAATGACTGCCCTTCAGGTTGGGTCTCTTGGTGCCTTGGTCTCCTGGATCTCCAGTGCCATGGCCTCCCCATTACTCAGCTCTCCCTCCCTTTGACCCCTCCTCCTTTCCCACTTCCATCAGTCCTGCAGTTGGCGGGCCAGCCCTTTGACCACTCCCCCATCCGCTTCTGTGCCCGCAACGGGGAGTATGTCACCATGGACACCAGTTGGGCTGGCTTTGTGCATCCCTGGAGCCGCAAGGTAGCCTTCGTGTTGGGCCGCCACAAAGTACGAACGTAAGTGGGCCATGTCCCCGAGCTGGCGTTGGGGATAGGGCAGTGTGGTGGGGGACAGGACTGGGCCAGGCTGGACTCACTCTTCCCCACCCTACAGGGCCCCGCTGAATGAGGATGTGTTCACTCCCCCGGCCCCCAGCCCAGCTCCGACCCTGGACACTGATATCCAGGAGCTGTCAGAGCAGATCCACCGGCTGCTGCTACAGGTGAGAGTAGCGGAGAGGGAGCGTGGGAGGTGAAGAAGGGGGTGGGAAGTGGGATCAAGCCATCTAACCTGCCCTCTCCCCGCTGCAGCCCGTGCACAGCCCCAGCCCCACAGGACTCTGTGGAGTCGGCCCCGTGACATCCCCAGGCCCTCTCCACAGCCCCGGCTCCTCCAGTGATAGCAACGGGGGTGATGCAGAGGGGCCTGGGCCTCCTGCGCCAGTGAGTGACCTGCTCCCACCGCATTCTCTAATCGCCCTTTCCCCTCTCCTCCTCGGAACCAGCACTGCCAGTCCCAGAGTCTTGCCCGATCCCCCTTTGCCCTCTCTTTCGTGCCATTTCCTTCTTACCCTGCTCTCATCAAGGCGTCTGTGCCTCCCCACTGGTACTTTCTTGTTTTATTGTGCCCTTGGCCCCTGACACTGGCCACACCCCCTGCTGCTGCTCACTGTGGTGCTGTCCTGCAGGTGACCTTCCAGCAGATCTGTAAGGATGTGCATCTGGTGAAGCACCAGGGCCAGCAGCTTTTTATTGAGTCTCGGGCCCGGCCTCAGCCCCGGCCTCGCCTCCCTGGTGAGTTGGTGACAATGTATGGGTGAGGAGACAGACCTGGGGGGGTCCCCTGATCTTCACCGCCAACCTATTTGCTGTTTTTTTCCATGTGAGCTTGAGAAGACTATTTTCCTCTTTCTCTCTTTGCCCCAGCTACAGGCACATTCAAGGCCAGGGCCCTTCCCTGCCAATCCCCAGACCCAGAGCTGGAGACGGGTTCTGCTCCCATCCCGGCCCCACTAGCCTTGGCCCCTGAGGAGGCCGAGAGGAAAGAAGCCTCCAGCTGCTCCTACCAACAGATCAACTGCCTGGACAGCATCCTCAGGTAAGGCCTGCAGGCGTCTTCTCCACCTCGGGCTCTAGCCCTGCCCACCCCAAGCCCTTCTTTGATGCCCTCTGCTGTGTCCATCACCAGGTATCTGGAGAGCTGCAACCTCCCCAGCACCACTAAGCGTAAATGTGCCTCCTCCTCCTCTTACACCACCTCCTCAGCCTCTGACGACGACAAGCAGAGGACCGGTCCAGTCCCTGTGGGGACCAAGAAAGGTAAAGACCCAGTGCACCCTGCTCCCACTGCCCCGTCCTGGCCTGGTGGCCCTGTGTCTTTTCCCTTCTGCTTCTGGGCCCTCTTGCTGTGCCCTGCCCTCCTCCCCAGCCTCCTGGTCTCCAGACTGTTCCCTACCACCATCCCCTTCCCCTTTTCCCTGGGATCCTCTCTCCTGACTTCCCAGTGGGGGTGGGGATGGTAACTGGCACCATCTCTCTGCACAGATCCGCCGTCAGCAGTGCTGTCTGGGGAGGGGGCCACCCCCCGGAAGGAGCCAGTGGTGGGAGGCACCCTGAGCCCGCTCGCCCTGGCCAATAAGGCGGAGAGCGTGGTGTCCGTCACCAGTCAGTGTAGCTTCAGCTCCACCATCGTCCATGTGGGAGACAAGAAGCCCCCGGAGTCGGGTATGGGCGTGGAGCTGGGGGGCAGTGCTTGGGCTCTACCAGGCTCCCAGCTAGAGCTCCCTCCTGCCTTTCCCCTCCCTTCCAGCCCCTGATGGAGAGAAGGAGGCCTCCCTTGACGTGGGGCTTGGGGCTACCGCTTCTTGCTCTCCCCTCCCTGCCAGGCTTCTCGACTTTGCCCTTCCCCTGTTCTGCTTCTCGTATTGTTACTGTCAGTTGAAACACACAGTCTGGGGTAGGGGGTTTGCCCTGAGGTGCTGACCACAGAGGGTCTGAAGGCGAGGAAAATTGAAGCTCCCTGAAGGGTCTTTGGATATGGACCTTGAAAATGTGTGAAGGGCTGGGCATGGTGGCTCAGGCCTGTAATCCCAGCACTTTGGGAGGCTGAGGTAGGAAGATCACCTGAGATCAGGAGCTCGAGATCAGCCTGGGCATCATGGTGAAACTCTGTCTCTACTAAAAATGCAAAACTTAGCCAGGCGTGGTGGCACGCGCCTATAGTCCCAGCTACTTGGGAGGCTGAGGCAGGAGAATCGCTTGAACCCAGGAGGTGGTGGTTGCAGTGAACCGCGATCGTGTCCCTGCCCTCCAGCCTGGGAGAAAGAGCGAGACTCTGTCTCAAAAAAAAAAGGAGAGAAACAGAATGTGTGAGGGAAAGCCAAGGGGTGGGCTTCTCTTCCAACAAGAGTTGTGAGGGGGTCATCCCAGTAGAGTTCCTGGAGGGGAGTGGCCACTGGAGGGACCTGAGTATCTATCGTCTCCTCTTCTGGGCCAGCTTTGCAATGGAGGAGAGGACCCAGGGCCAGCCCTTGGCAGAGAGGTGACCAAGAAATGTACATGGGGACCAGGCTCGGCTATGGGGCAGAGCCACCAGGGGTTGGCTAGGCTATCGGACAGGGAGGGTGTGGTATGGATTTGTTGACCCCTGAGGTGATTCTGATGACCTTTCTGTATCTCACCTTCCTCAGACATCATCATGATGGAGGACCTGCCTGGCCTAGCCCCCGGCCCAGCCCCCAGCCCAGCCCCCAGCCCCACAGTAGCCCCTGACCCAGCCCCAGATGCCTACCGTCCAGTAGGGCTGACCAAGGCCGTGCTGTCCCTGCACACGCAGAAGGAAGAGCAAGCCTTCCTCAGCCGCTTCCGAGACCTGGGCAGGCTGCGTGGACTGGACAGCTCTTCCACAGCGCCCTCAGCCCTTGGCGAGCGAGGTAGCCACCTGGGGCCTGCCGGAGCCTGCCCTTTGCCCAGTCTAGGACTGGACTGTCGGGGGGTGGATCTTAAGGGAGGTGTTTCTGCTCCAGGGACCCAGGCTGGTGGTGGTTCCACCACCAGGCCTGCCTAGGGACAGGTCCCTCGCTAGCTTCTCCCCACTAGGCCGGGGTTCTGGGCTGCAGCCAGAGGAGGGCAGCCTGGGGGGTTGGCACTGGGATGGGCAGGCGGAAGTGCTGTGCTCCAGGTAGGCGACTTCAGGCCTAGCCTGGGGGCAGCGGCAGGAAGTGTGCCCACTTAGGAGTCAGTTGTCACTGATGAAGAGACATGCATAGACTCTGGGCCAACTCTGGGTGGGGTCTGGGCTTCAAGGGCAGGTGGAAGACAGCCCCTCCAGGTGCCTGAGGGAGACCCCCTGCAGGCAGACGCAGGACTCAGGACTGGGCTTTCCAGCCCCCCTCTTCACTCCATCGCAAGCTAGGCAGAACACGGCCTCGATGGGCAGGAGGAACGCCTATGCTGGCAGCGCCCGCAGGAGTTTGGCGGAGGGACCAGAGCCACCTGTCCATGTGTCCATGGACGCACCCTGCCTCCTCCATCTGCCAGCGTGCCTCCATCTTCCGCACACCCCCAGCTCGACCCCTCTTGTAACCTCTCCCTGGCCTTGTTCCTTTCTCAATAAATCCCCTTGTCCCTGGCTCCTGTGATTCTTCCCTGAAGGTGCCCCACCTCCTGAGCCCCCCATTCTGTGTGGGTTGAGAAGCTCTCTCTGGAGTCTTGGCCTGCCCTCTCCCTGGTCAGAGTGTCACGGCAGTGTGGGTAGCAGGGGCACTAACCCCAGGTTGAGGCCCTCGCTAACCCTAGTCTTTTCCCACAGGCTGCCACCATGGCCCCGCACCCCCAAGCCGCCGACACCACTGCCGATCCAAAGCCAAGCGCTCACGCCACCACCAGAGCCCTCGGGCTGAAGCGCCCTGCTATGTCTCACACCCCTCACCTGTGCCACCCTCCACCCCCTGGCCTGCCCCACCAGCCACTACCCCCTTCCCAGCAGTTGTCCAGCCCTACCCTCTCCCAGTGTTCTCCCCTCGAGGAGGCCCCCAGGCTCTTCCCCCTGCTCCCACATCTGTGCCCCCGGCTGCTTTCCCCACCCCTCTGGTGACCCCCATGGTGGCCTTGGTGCTCCCTAACTATCTGTTCCCAACCCCATCCAGCTATCCTTACGGGGCACCCCAGACCCCTGCTGAAGGGCCTCCCACTCCTGCCTCGTACTCCCCTTCTCCATCCTTGCCCGCCCTCCCCCCAAGCCCTCCTCGCCGCCCGGACTCTCCACTGTTCAACTCAAGATGCAGCTCTCCACTCCAGCTTAATCTGCTGCAGCTCGAGGAGCTCCCCCGTGCTGAGGGGGCTGCTGGTGCAGGGGGCCCTGGGAGCAGTGCTGGGCCCCCACCTCCCAGTGAGGAGGCTGCTGAGCCAGAGGCCAGACTGGTGAGCACTGATCCCTGCGTCTGCCCACCAGCCCCCACCCCAGCCCCGCCCCTCTGCCACCTTATGCTGCCTGCTGCCTCTGCCAGGCCAGTGTCTCAGCCTCCAGGAGGTGGAGGGAGACCCCAGCTGAATTTCTGAATGAAGCAGAAATTGGCTAACTCCTCATTGAAGGGACAGTCCTGTCTGTCTGACAGGTAGTGAGGACATCTCAGTAACTTCTGAGGGAGTATCTGCCACTTGGAAAGGGTCTGGCCTCACATCCCCACTCTTCGCCAGCTTGCTTCTCTCTCAGCCTGGCCTTACTGTCACGAAGTGGGGAGCAGAGACCACTGGGGTTGGATGTGCCTCTGCCCACAACCAGTGAGAGCAGTTGAAGGGAAGCGTAGGTGCTGACCCCTTCGTCCCTCCTTGCCCCCCCCCCTCCTCCAGGTGGAGGTCACTGAGTCCTCCAATCAGGACGCACTTTCCGGCTCCAGCGACCTGCTGGAACTGCTGCTGCAAGAGGACTCGCGCTCCGGCACAGGCTCCGCAGCCTCGGGCTCCCTGGGCTCTGGCTTGGGCTCTGGGTCTGGTTCAGGCTCCCATGAGGGGGGCAGCACCTCAGCCAGCATCACTCGTGAGTGCCCCGCCTCCAACACCTCCCAGGGTCGGGCAGTGACTGGGGAGCCGGGAGCCCAGGAGCTTCCTAAGGCCATTGGGATGGACATGTGGCCTTTGAGGGAGGCCTTGTGAGGCCCCCGGAGTGGGCATGCAGCCAGCCTGACTCCACTGGTCTGCCCTCCCACTTCTCAGGCAGCAGCCAGAGCAGCCACACAAGCAAATACTTTGGCAGCATCGACTCTTCCGAGGCTGAGGCTGGGGCTGCTCGGGGCGGGGCTGAGCCGGGGGACCAGGTGATTAAATACGTGCTCCAGGATCCCATTTGGCTGCTCATGGCCAATGCTGACCAGCGCGTCATGATGACTTACCAGGTACCCTCCAGGTGAGGCATTTCAGAGGCCGCCTTGGCCTTCCTTTCAGAGGTAGTAGGGGGGCAGTTTTCTTTTCTGGGACTAGCTCTGTCCTGGATAGGATAGATGGTTCCTATCCTCCCTGCCCCTTGGATCTCTGTTACTAGTTCCTCCCAGGAGGAGAGCAGGTTTCCTGGTCTTGGGACCCTTGACCTCCCATAGCCCTGATTTAGGGGAGGAGCATGAGGCGGGGAGTTGTGGTAGAGGAAGGATGCCAGCTTCACAGGTCCTGGTCCGGGTCCTGGATCCCAGCCTCTGCCTTCTGAACCCCTTCTCGGGCAGGGACATGACCTCTGTGCTGAAGCAGGATCGGGAGCGGCTCCGAGCCATGCAGAGGCAGCAGCCCCGGTTTTCTGAGGACCAGCGGCGGGAACTGGGCGCTGTGCACTCCTGGGTCCGCAAGGGCCAACTGCCTCGGGCTCTTGATGTGATGGTGAGAGAAGCCTGGGACAGGGGTAGAAAAAAGAATTGAGCTTGTCAAGTTCAAGGGATCGAGGCCAAGAGCTGATCTCAATATCCTTGGATCATTAATTCTGAAGACTGTTGATTCCACTGAATTTGCTGTGGATTATTATTAAGCTGCATGAGTCTTTGCAGAACTTTTCTCAGCCTATCCTATGCTAATGTGCATTGTGACTCTCCTGTAATGGCATCTGGGTAGAGGGCACAAGGCACCTTCCAACCTCGTTGGACTGCAGGTGCATATATGTGGACTGGTGCTTCTTGGGAGTACATTTCGGGAAGCACAGGGGGCTGGGGGTGGGAAGCTGGGCTGACAGGTTAGCAGTGAGGACCCTCTCTGACTCTCTCCTGTCCATTTCTCTTACCAAGGCCTGTGTGGACTGTGGGAGCAGCACCCAAGATCCTGGTCACCCTGATGACCCACTCTTCTCAGAGCTGGATGGACTGGGGCTGGAGCCCATGGAAGAGGGTGGAGGCGAGCAGGGCAGCAGCGGTGGCGGCAGTGGTGAGGGTGAGGGCTGCGAGGAGGCCCGGGCCCAAGGTGGGGCCAAGGCCTCAAGCTCTCAGGACTTGGCCATGGAGGAGGAGAAAGAAAGCAGGAGCTCAGCCAGTCCAGCCTTACCTACAGCAGGAAACGGCACGAGCTAGACTCCATTCTGGGACCATCTCCAGGAGTCCACAAGATGCTTTCTTCTCCTGTGTCCCAATTCTCAGAACTCAGATGTGGCTGGACCAACCAGTGGGAAACTGCCCCAGCTTCTCCCACCATAGGGGGCCGGACCCCCATCACCAGCCCAGGAATCCAGGGGCTGCCTCTGGCCTCGTAGGGAGCAGAGAGCAGAACTCCGCAGCCCAGCCCAGCCCAGAGGAGTGTCACCTCCCACCTTTGGAGAGGAATCCTTCCCTCCCCTGGACAGAGTTGCTGACAGGCTGCTTAAGTGGCCTCTCCATATCCTAGCTGAGCCTGAATCCGACTCCTGAGGGTTGGGGCTGCACTTATTTATCGGGGGAGACAGCTGTCTCTCCCACCTCCTCCCCACATGGGAGGAGAGCCTGAGGCCCAAGCAGGACCTGGGGGATCCAGCCCCTAGCTGCTCGGGGGTGGGGGAGGTTGGTGGACCATGGAGTCCCTGGTGCTGCCCCTCAGGTGGGACCCAGGTGTTCTCAGCTGTACCCTCTGCCGATGGCATTTGTGTTTTTGATATTTGTGTCTGTTACTACTTTTTTAATACAAAAAGATAAAAACGGCCAGGACTTTGTGGAATGAAGTTTGGGGTTGGGGTGAGGGGAGCGCATCTAGGAGGGACTCGGCCCTGCTTCCGGGAAGGTTGTAGTGAGGGTGCACAGGGCCATCCCCTGAAGACCCCCATTCCTCTTTCCCCCCATCCTGTCCAGGTGAGGGCCCTGCTCAGCCTACTACATCCACGCCCAGCTCTGACTCTGCTGTCCCCTCTAGCATGGCCTCAGCTGGGTTTACCCTGGGAAGGAGAGATGAGAGGCACGTGTGGCCAAGGGCTTGGGTGAGCTCCAGCCCAGGTCACAAGTGGCCGAGGCAGAGGAAGCCCGCTTAACCCCGTCGTGCCTTGAGGTATTCGAGGGTGTTTGTCTTCCTTGGCTTCCTTTTTTAAATAAAAAAAGACGAAATTTCACTCTGTTACCCAGCTGGAGTGCAATGACGCCATCTCGGCTCACTGCAACCTGCGCCTCCTGGGTTCAAGCGATTCTCCTGCCTCGGCCTCCCGAGTAGCTGGGATTATAGTGTCCGCCACCATCCCTGGCTAATTTTGTATTTTTAGTACAAATTAGAGATGGGGTTTCACCATTGTTCAGTCTGGTCGCAAACTCCTGACCTCAGGTGATCTGCCCGCCTCGGCCTCGCAAAGTGCTGGGGTTACAGGCGGGAGCCACCGTGCCTGGCCTTCCTTGGCTTCTTGGTCACCGCACAGAGAGGTCAGTCTAGGTAGCTAAGGGATACATGGAGTCATGTGCTCACTCACGGTTGAATTGGCCCCAAAGGTTTGGAAGAATGGAGGAGCAAAGCATGAACTCTCTGGCTCAGAACCTGAAAAGGAAGAGGTAGCTTAGGAAGGGATGAGTCGCTGAAGAACCACTGCAGACACTTATTTACTGATTATCACTTACTGTCGCCCGCTCACAGTTGATTTATTTTGAGGCACATTTACTTTACCCCGGCGCTGTGGCTTAGCTGGTTAAAGCGCCTGTCTAGTAAACAGGAGATCCTGGGTTCGAATCCCAGCGGTGCCTGAGTTGGTGGGGAGTGATATATTATTGCTGCAAGTGCACTTCTCCACTTTCAAAGTGCGTTTCTGTGTGGTTTTAAGAAAGATTCTTCTTACAAGCCAATCCGTCTTTGGGCCTCCGTTCCCCTGCACTTTTAGTGTGTATTGGAAGCTACAGATTCTCACTTCGCTTTCATGAAGTAGCACGAAGTAGGCATCTCAGGGTCTGTCCTCAAGGGTATGGAAGACAGGGCTCGGATTTGGGCCCGTTTTGTTTCCATCCTATGCTCGGGTAGGAGAGGGAGAATGGGAAAGCTGCCACTCCAGCGGGGCCGCTGACGGCCGCTGGAGAGAAGGCATGGTCTGCGCCACCGAGCCGAGGCGCACGAGCGCTGGCGTCTCGAGGCAGCGTGGGTGGAGCCGGCTGGAGGCGGGCGTGTTGATAGGCAGCTATAGTTGCGCAGGGCCGAGCCCGCACGCGGCTGTGATGGCCGAGTGGTTAAGGCGTTGGACTCGAAATCCAATGGGGTCTCCCCGCGCAGGTTCGAATCCTGCTCACAGCGTCAGTACTTTTGGTAATAGGTATCTCGGTCTCTGGAGAAGGAAAAAGCAGTTTGTTTTCTAGTTCTTTCCTTGGAGAATCTCCCGCGTTATTTTGAGAATCTCAGGGACTCGGCCGTCAGGGTCCAGCCCGCGAGCGCCCTCTTGCGAGTCTCATACTCCTGTCGACCTGCGAAAGCCTTTTTACTGCCGATTTCACTTCCTAACGCCACCACGCTCAGATGGCTCCTTAGGGCTACTCAGCAATCGTTACTTCCCCCCAGTTCATTCACTCTCCTACTCTCCTATGCGACTGCTTCATTCCTACCCTTACCTCAAACTGCGAATCCCTTCTTCATCGTCCCTCATCTTCTACTTCCTGATTCACTGAGAAAATAAAGCCTTCCGGAGTTTCCCATCAACATTCACATCGCACGTACCTACCTACCTACCTACCTACCTACCTACCTACCTACCTACCTACCTACCTACCTATTTGAGTCTGTGACCACATACTCTTCTTTTCCCTCATTATTGTAGATGAATGCTTGCTTCCATCTAAAGCCAACCCCTACTTTTACTAGATTTCCCATCCCCCCGGCCCACTCAAGCAAGGACACTGCTTTTTTTCCTATACCATCAAATTTCCCCTCTCAGCCAGGCGCAGTGGCTCACGCATGTAATCTCAGCACTTTGGGAGGCTTGACGAGTGGATCACTTGAGGTCAGGAGTCCTAGACCAGTGAAACCCCATCTCTACTAAAAATACAAAATTAGCAGGGCGTGGTGGCTGGCGCACGCCTGTATTCCCAGCTACTCGGGAGACTGAGGCAGGAGAAGCACTTGAATCCGGGAGGCGAAGGTTGCAGTGAGCCGAGATCG